CAGAGCGTTCCAGCGGTTGTATGAACGATCTCAAACGTGCATAGCTTTAAATGGAGACTACCTTGAAGTGTAAACTTGTTTAATAAACCATATCTTTNATTTTCGATTTTTAATTCACGTAGTCCGGGAACTTTCCGGACAAACTGTGTACATTTATCTGCAAATAATAATGTCGTAGTTTTACATCCGGACCGAATAATGTTAATAATGTATGTACGTTGAGATTATACATTTATCTGCAAATAATAATGTCGTAGTTAAAAACAAAACAAAAAAATTTTTTTAATATTACATCCGGACCGAATAATGTTAATTTAGAACTTCTTATGTATTGGGTCTTGCATTTTTTTGTCCGTGAATTCTGCTGGATGCCATGCTACAACTTGAGGTTGTTTTTTTTTAAATACGAAAGTTGTACGTAATGCAATGGCCACGATTACCGCGTCCACGAGTACCGCGGCCACGAGTGTACCACCACCATTGCTTTGCTCGTCCGGCACTGGTACCTCTTTTTCCTACGAAATATGAGAGTACATATATAAAATGTGTAAAGAAAAAATAAGAAAAAAACAAAGAGAGAGAGAGAGAGAGAGAGAGAGAGAGAGAGAGAGAGAGAGAGAGAAAGATAAATATACTTACGCTTGTTTTCTTCTTCGTGTACTGATTGTTGTACTGATTGTAGTGATTGTTGTACTGATGAAGTCTGTTGTTGTTGTACTGATGAAGTCTCTTGTGTTTCTGCAAAAAAAATATATATACTAAATTACTAATTGTACATAAGAAAGAAGTTTGTGTGTGTGTGTGTGTGTGTGTGTGTATATGTGTGTGTGTGTAATGTGTACACAAAAGTAAACGTACTTACGGTTTTTTACAGGTCCGCCTTCTTCTATTTTTTTTAGTTTATATTCTAATTTTTTTAACTGTTCTTTTAATAATCGATTCTGTTGTTTTAGTTCTTTGTTTTCTTGTTCTTCTAAAACAATATTATGTAGATCTCTTTCAAGATCAATATTCATTTTTTCATCCATCTGAAAAGAATATTCAAAAATTAAAAAGTGGTGTACATATCGATCGTCCGAAATGACGGCTTTACAGATCTCACCTGTACGCAGATTTTTCGTCCTCGTTAAAAAGAAATTCGGTTCTCCTGGTTCGGTTCTCCTTGTTGACAGGACTTCGGTCCTCCTTGTTGATTCGGTCTTTCTCGTTGGAACTTATGGTGGCAGTGGAAGGCTGGTCACTGGCGGGATGTCGTTTTCTTGTCCTGATCAGGATCGCGACTCGTAACAATAACTCGTAACAATAACGAAATCGATCATGCGCGAGCGCATTGGCACTGCAAGTCGCGACCTCTACCTCTTGCGGCGCGTTATCGATATCGGTCGATATATTAAACCGCGATCGCGCGTCGGGAGGGCGCTGATTTGCTATCGTAATCTTTCGCTGTTCAGCGTGGCGCCTTGTTAATATTGACGTCACATTAAGTCACATGTAGTACAGTGGTAAGAAACTACTAGTAAGTGACAAGTGATTGTTGTTATTTGGTGTTATCACCGTTATTAACGTGCGTTTTTGATGTTATTATCGTTATTAACGTGCGTTTTTCTATCTGATCTCTTCTGCATACGTAAGTATATATAGTTTAAATATAAAGTTCAGTTTAAATATACAGTCAATATTGTATTTATAAAAAAATGGTTACCTTAGAAAAAATTAATAAATGTGTTTATCAAGAGACACGGTAGTGCCTCGCGCCAAGTTCACGCTTAACGAAGTAGTGCTCGAACTGCGCGAGGCGCACCGTGCTTCTTATATGCGAAATAATAATGTGCAATTTTCTATATATACCTGTGTGTGATATATATATTTACAATAGTCAGCAGCACAAGAACATTGTCAGCAAAAAGAAGGAAGAGCAAGAAAGAAAATAAGACGAGAGAAAATATATGCAGGTATGTGTGTAACAATAAATATACTTACTCACTCGCAAAAAACCGGACTACCGTTAAACTTTTTTTCTTTGACAGAATTATACCGTTTTGAAAAAAAAATGAACAACTTTTTCTTAAAATATCTGCATTCAGAAACAATTATCGTAAAATTTTTATTGTACAGAGTTGGTGAAAGATACAAAGTCATTAGTAACATCAGCGAAATGTACAAAGTGAACATCTCTTTTTTTCCAAAATATAACTTTTCGTCAAAAAATGATAAAAATATGAATATATCTTATTTGTTACGAGATAAATGAGCTGGAAAATTCATACACTTTTGTACTGTAAAATTAAGAGAAATGTTTAAGCTTTCATTTGAGCGTCTTTTATTTATGAGCTATTAAAAATTGTTAAAAAGTTATGCTAAAGTTTAACGGTGGCTCGTTTTTTTGATATAAACATAAATATACATATATAAATTTTATACTAAAGTTTAAATTATTTTGCAGGTAACTGTATACAAGGCTTCGCCTATATTTGTCAATATAAACAAGGCTGCGCCTATAAAGATTGGCTGCTTCTGCGCTAATACAAACAGGCTGCTCAGCGCCTATAAAAACAGACTGCCCAGCGCCTATAAGAACAGGCTGCTTCTGCGCCTATACGAATTGGCTGCTTTTGCGCCAATAAAATCAGGCTGCTCAGCGCCTATAAAAACAGGCTGCTCGGCGTTTATAACAACTGGTTGCTTCGGCACCAATAAAATCAGGCTGCTCAACGCCTATAAAAACAGGCTGCTCGGCGCCTATAACAACTGGCTGCTTCTGCGCCAATAAAATCAGGCTGCTCAGCGCCTTTAAAAACAGGCTGCTCTGCGCCTATAAGAACAGGCTGCTTCTGCGCCTATAAAAACTGGCCTGCTTCTGCGCCAGTAAAAACGGGCTGCTTCTGCGCCAATAAAAATAGGTTGCTTTGCGCCAAAACAAAGCTATTTTTTGCCTACGTTTCTATATACACACTGCTCTTATCTCTCGATATCTGCATTTTGTAACCAATAAAGTTGGTTTTTTTAAAAACAGTGTATATAATAGATATATATATTTTGTTCTTATTATACTATTTTAAAAATGGCCAAAACACATATGATTTTACAAGAAAAAGAAAAAGACATAATTGTTAAAGGCGATTGGTTGACAGACTTACATATGGATCATTTTAACTGCCTCTTACGAAATTGTTCATCAAACCTGTACAAACCTGTTGATAGCTATAAATTGTATGTGCCTGATACAATAAAATCTATGCCGATAAATAGTAAGCATATACAAATCTTGTTTAGTTCTTCGGATCCGGATATGCATACTGGACATTGGGTATGTAGTTATTATGACATGTATCTTTCAACAATTAACCGAAAACGACTTGTGTCGCATGCGTATGTGGACGCTATTTATTTCCAATACTTGTTACAAAAGTACAATGAAAGAATTACATGGCACGTAGCGTGGTTCGCACAACGAACTTGTTGCAACGAGCTCGAGAAAGCTTCTGATTCTTTTTCTTTTCAACAACGCTCGCTTCCGCGCATGCGACGCTAACGCGCTCACCGTACCAACACTCTAAAGCGCTGCGCGGGCTATTTTAAACACACAAAAGGATACTTAACTTGTACTTAACATACCGCCGCCCTTGAAAGCACCGGCTTTCAAAAGAAGATAACTTACATTGCTCTTTGGTTAACGTCGGCCAAACACTAATTATACAAAGGAACCTAAAACGATAAATTTTTATGACTTAAACACTACTTCGTCGTTTACATTTCTTGTATCAATCGGTAACANGCAAAGCCTTGTAACAGGACGCTTATAGACTCCCGACGCTGTACGCAATGACACAACACGAACAACACCATCATGACCAGGGTGTAACTGCTCCACACGCGCCAGGCTCCAGCATAAGGGTGGCAAATTATCCTCCTGTAGCACCACCAACTGACCCAGCTTGACAGGTTCACCAGCCGTTCTCCACTTTGACCGAACTTGATAATTGTGTAGATACTCCTTAGTCCAACGTCGCCAAAAGTGTTGTTTCAACTGCTCAACCCGTTGCCAACGCGACAACCTATTTGATGGCAAAAGTTCAAGGCTTGGTTCTGGATAGGTTGTAAGTGGACAACCTATCAAAAAATGTCCTGGCGTAATGACATTCAAATCATTAGGATCACTGGACAAGGGGACAAGTGGCCTCGAATTCAATATGGCTTCCACTTGAACCACGAGTGTGAACAATTCGTCATACTTCAATGACACTTCTCCTGCTATACGCTTCAANTGAAACTTGGCGCTCTTCACTGCTGCTTCCCAAAGACCACCCATATGTGGAGCCTTAGGCGGATTAAAAAACCACCTTATCCTTTCACTGGTCATGAAATCAGTTACCTTTTGCCTGACAGTTTCGCTATGAAGTAACTCATACAACTCGCTGAGCTGACGATTTGCTCCGACAAAAGTTAAGCCGTTGTCCGAATACATTTCAACTGGGCGACCCCTTCTTGAAACAAAACGCTTAAACACACTTAAATATGTTTCCGCTGTCATATCCGCCGCTAATTCTATGTGTACTGCCTTTGTAGCAAAACAAACAAACAGCACCACATAACACTTCACAGACTTAGAGCTCTTCCGCTGGCCTTCTTTGTGCCAAAACGGACCCGCATAATCGACGCCACATTTCTCAAATGCATACTTTGCCACATTTACCCGCGTCTCCGGTAAATCCGCCATCAACGCCGTGTTTAACTTGGGTGCATTGCGAACACACACCACACATCTACGTAAGAGATGTCGCACAACACTTCGTGCCGACGTTGGCCAATAATTTTGACGCACAGCTGCTAACGTAGCTTGCGCCCCGGCATGGAGATGCCGCTCATGTTCATGTACAATAAGTAGCTGGGTAAAAATGTGTTTGCCTGGTAATAAGATTGGGTGTTTATATCCATACGANACNTTGGCATATTTCAGACGACCACCCACTCTTAAAACGCCATGCGAATCCAAAAATGGTGCTAACTTCAACATAGAACTACGCTTGCTTACACGACTCGTTTTTTCAAGCGAGCTGATTTCATCGCGAAAGCATTGACCTTGTACTATTTTCACCAAAGCTAGTCTAGACTGTTCCAACTCTTCAACAGACAACGACTGGACTGCATAGTGCGCGTTGGTGCTCGAGGACGCCTTGTGAGCTTTACGCTTCTTACAATTTGCCACGAACCTAATACAATAGGCAATTGAGCGTACTAAACGAGAAAACTTCGAGAAGCGGTCAAAAATGTNAACTTGCGACTCACTCCCGGTTGTTGTTACCAACGTGGTGACCCTTTTTTCCGGCAANTCTAACTCGGACGCTACAAATTTTTCATGAGGCCAACTATCTTCACTCATGCTTAACCACGACGGTCCTGACCACCAGACACTTAGCGCGGGTAACAAATCAGGCGCAACCCCCCTAGATAACGCATCTGCAGGGTTATCCCGGGTAGGTACATGTCGCCAATTTCCAACGTCAGTGATTCGCTGGATTTCAGCTACGCGATTTGCGACAAACTGTGTCCACTGTCGACTACACGATCGCAACCAACACAATACTATGCGAGAGTCAGTCCACAAAGACACGGAATCGACCTCAAAAGGTAGACTACTAGCCACTTTCTCTATGAGCTGAGACAGCAGTAGCGCACCGCAGAGCTCCAGCCGTGGTACTGACAAAGTCTTCAAAGGCGCTACACGTGACTTCGAACACAATAATCGCACTGTCGTCTGTTCACCAACCGAAACAGATCTCACGTAGACACACGCGCCGTACGCCTGTTGGCTTGCATCAGAAAACCCATGTATTTCTAGCTTTCGACNTTGGTTGTGCGGAATAACTCTACGATCTATTTCAAAAGTAGCTAGCGCTTGCAACTTAAGCTCATAATTTCTCCAGCGAGTATGCAATTCGCTAGGCAGGGATTCGTCCCA